TTAATATTAATTTAATTTGTGTTTAATGAAAAAACATAACTTTTATATTCAAATTTGTTGTAAAGATAATATTTATCTAATAACAATTTGTCATTTTTTAGATTTACACATTATTTATTTGATTTAAAAAATTCTACATTTCAAACTTCCCGCCAGAGAAAACCATTTTCTCAAGTGTGAAAATTTGGCTGTGAACGCAATTCCGACAAAATCGGTAAATTTTTTTTCTTCCAACGGAGGTGAGAAAGCACCTTAAACAATAAGAAACCATCATAAAAAAATTGGTTTTTTGGTCGATAACACCGTTTTCTCAGACCCGGTCACATATATATTTTCGCGTCTAGATTACAGGAAAAATATAGCAAACCTGATTGGAATTGATTATAATAGCGTTGACAAGAAAAAACCATGAATTTTTACTAAAAATGACTATGTACCCCCCCCCGCGGTCACATCTTTTGACATAAAGAGCTTAAATTTGGCACACTTACGTATTTTTACGTAAAAATTAAGGAAAAGTATAGCGAACTTGGTTTGGATCAATTTACATAGCGTTGTCAAGGAAAAATCAAAATTTTCGAAAAAAATGGTTTAATCTCCCTAGCGCACAAAATATAGCAAGGACGATTGGAATTTATTTTTCTGGTGCTATCAAGAAAAAACTGTTTATTTTAGAAAAAATCATGAATTTTCTCTTCCAATAAAGAAGAAAATTTTATCTAAAGGGCTTCAAATTTATACATTTTTACGTATTTTTATGTGTAGATTATAGAAATAATTTAATAAACATGATAAGAAGTGAAAAAGTAGGCCTTTTTCTTAAGTTTATTTCTTCAGTCGTTATAACTCTAAAATAAAAAAATCGGATACGTGCTAGTTACACTCGCACCGAAATTGTGGGTTCCGTACACGAAGCGAACTTATTTGGCATAAAAACAAATGTTTTAAAAATATGTGATGTATATCAAATAATATATGTGGTAAGAAAAGGAACAATTTTCTTAATTTTTTTTTAAATTGTTCCTTTTTGTATCACTTATATTATTTGACATACAACACATATTTTTTAAACATTTGTTTTTATACCAAATAATTTCGCATCGTGTACGCAACCCTCGATTTCAATGCGAGTATAACTCGCACTTATCCGATTTTTTTTAATTTCACCAAAAATTTAACAATTATTAAGCATTTGTGGATAACAAATATGTACAAATATTTACTAACAATATTAAAAAAGTATATGTTAATAATTAATAATGATTGATGAAAAATTAATAATTAATGTAAAAAATAATAACAAATTTATTAAATAATTCGGATAGGGATTTAAATCTTGTAACTTTACTTTTCCTTTATGACAGCAACTACTAAATAATCCATCTGACGGTCTTTCACATAGAAAATGTAGCGCATTACAAAATTTACATTCTGCATTCATCAAACCTAAATAATTCTGTGGAACTTTACTTTCATCGAAATCTTTAAAAGACATTATTGCAACTCCTACACTTCTTTTTACATTCCGATTATCGTTTTTATATACCAAATTCTTTTCTTGACGCACTTTCTTTTCAGCTTCCGTTTCAGTAAAAATTTGTTCTTCTTACATGACAAATTATTTTCTTGACGCAGTTTCTTTACATCTTGAGTTTCCATTGATATTTTTCTTTTCCTACGTGCCAAATTTTTAACCTTGCGTATTTTTTTTCATCTTCAGTTTCTATAGATAATTTCTTTTTTTTGCATATCAAATTTTTTTTGCTCTCTTTCTTTTGTATTTCTCTTTCTGTTTCATTACGATTACGTTTTCTCAATCTCTCATTCTCCTGTCTTATTATTTTCTGCTCATTTGTAACTTCGCGCCTTGCCTTCCTTTTTCTTCCCTTCTCTTTAATTGCTCGAATTATCTTTTTATCATTTTCTTTACTCAGAAAATTCTTCATTTTTAAATATTCATGTGGTGAAATTTTGTTTACATTATTATTAGTGGTATGAATTATTTTCTTTTCACTAGTGTCATTTAAAGAATGTTTAATTTCTAAATCTTATGTTAATAGAACTCTGTTAATATTATTACTGGGAAAAGTATTAAAAACAGAACAAAGGTTTAAAATATTATTTTTAAGTTCCTGAGCTCAATTTATGAAAACACGGTTCCAATCATTCACTACTATCGAATTCCTATTATGAGACGTTCTTACTGCCGGAAAATAATTTAAGCGATTATTTTCAAACATTGACTTTAAATGGTTTTTCATTCTGTTATTATCAGTTTCATAATTTACTCTGTTTGGCATTACGTTAAAAAATATAGATGTTTAATTTTCTTTTTGATTCAAGAAAATCTAAATATCTTTAACCCTCTCTCTAACTCTCTCCAACATAACCAATTTTGCCTTTTATCCAATATAACCAATTTTGTCTTTTATCAAATATAACAAATTTTAGCTATTATCAAATATAACCAATTTCCAATTTATTTCCCAATATAAATATCAATCAATTCGATTTTTTTCAATAGTAATTTGTTCAAATGATTAATTTACAAAATGAGGTAAAGAATCAGATTAAGAATGTAACAGTACTTATTATATTACTTACTTAATATATTCACGAAGTTCACTTTGTATTCACTGCGAAGTTCACTTTATATACACAAGAGTCACAATAGCACCCCATCCTGAGTCGGCTGCATCTGTTGTCAAAAAGTTCGCAATTAGTCCGTTGTGCAACTGGGATGACAAGCTTACGGATCTCTGCCACCAGGTCAATTCTTGTTTTATTCGAGAAGTTATTAGTAATCGGTGTCGAGGTCTGAGTTGGTTGAATTGGCAGGAAAATCTCTGCAGGTGTCGAGAATGAAGACAACCTCTCGGGATGACGAAATTTGCAAAGTTGAGCTGGCCTAGTAGGCATTGAATCTGTTTTAGTGTTGAGGATCCCTTTAGAGCTATCTTTCTCGCTGATTCTGTTATTTTGTGAATCTTTTTGATTAGAAGTGACATGCAATTTTCCTTCGTGTTTCAAAGGATGCCCAGAAATTGTAGTTCTTGGCAGGGAACTAGAACACACTTCTTGAAATTGATTTTCCAACCAAGGGATTGTAGGAACTGTATGGCCTAGGTAATCTGTTTGTTGAGCTTGTTCTTGTCCTGAGAGACAAGCAGAAAGTCGTCTAGGTAGACGACTATCCTCATACCATTCGCACGAAGGAAATCCGCAACTCAATTCGTTATTGTTGCAAAAGAATAAGGAGCAGATGAAAAGCCGAAGGGCAAGCTCGTCATCTGAAGAAGTTCCTTGCCGTAGACGAGGCGAAGGAGACAACGGTGAGATTCTGCTGTGAACATGACAGAATGCTTGAGTCAAATCGATGCGTGTCATCCAATCTCCTCCCTGTAGAAAGTCTTTTACATCAGTAAGCCTGAAATGAGTTTCAGGACATTTGCTGGAGCTCCGACTGATTTCCACCTGTCCAAAAAGAGGGAAAGTTGACCCCCCGAAAAAGATTGGATTAATTGACTGCCACTTGACATTTTGTTTCTTGCGAAAGGAATCAACTGACTTAGAATTGAAACTTCCTTTCTTGAAATTGCCCTTATGGGGGACATTATTTCAATAAGAATTAGATTTATATCTAGAGGATTGAAAAGATTTACCTGATGAAGTTGAGGCTTTATTGTATGAATACTTGCTTGTCGATGGTGTGGGAGTAGTCGTTCTCTTCCTCTGAAAAGCTCTTTTAGAAGTTCAACCATGTCTGGGATTCTCCTAGAGATTGAATAGAAGGATGTAGTTGTGTTTTGTCAAAAAGGTATTCTTGACTCGGCGGAACCTTACGTATGGCTGCCTGTACATTTTTGTTCCGTATTTCAGTTAAAAGACGTTCTCTTCGAACCTCTATACATTCTGCTCTTTTTCCGCAGATCACCTGCATAGTTTGGTCGAAATTGAGCTGAACTTTAGATCCTACACCGAATGAGCCCAATTAACGATGCCTTGTAGATTATCTTTTAAAAAGTCCTTCTGTTATAAAATTGCGTTTGACAATCCGGCTAAGACTATTTCTGTCGGTAGAGATGTATCCTTTCTTTTGTCGAGATGGTAAAGCTCCTCATTAATTTTAAGAACCGTAAATACAGGAGATGCAGAAAAAGCTTTTAGAGCACCTGAATATCTTACATCTTTCCATTCTGTAGAACTAAAACTTTGTAAGCCGTGGAGAACATCTTAACGTTCTTTGATAGTAGGTCGAATTGTTTTCTTTTCGTCGACCGATGTTTTGACATTACTGAAGTCCAAAAGAGTAGCATGTGTTGAAATCTCGGGACATGTCAAGATTTCATTCTGAATATGTGGAACGGATGTGATAAACGAAACAGAGGGAACAGTTAGAAAAGCGCCAGGAAGCAGTCTGATCTTCCTACATAATTCTTAACACTTATCTTATCAAAGGCTAAGGTAATTTATGAAATTTATGCGGTAATTTATAATATATAAAAGAAAAATTTAAAAACTAATTTTGGAAATTTATAGGGTAATTTATGGTAATTTATGAAATTTTTAAGGTAATTTATAATATATAAAAGAAAATTTTTAAAACTAATTTTGGAAATTTATAGGGTAATATATATAATTTTATGTGGTAATTTAAAAAAATTTAATAGAAATATATGTTGTAATGTAAATTATTTTTAAAAAATTTTATCGTATTTTTTAAACATCACTATTCTCGCAATACTAGCTAGTGGCTAGAATACAAAATTGTGACAAATGGGCCTAGCGCCATTACAGTGTCACGGAAAGCTAGGATGGTGCCATCCTAGCGTCACGATATTTTTCTACACAGGGTAAAACTAGATTCTTTGATTACATTTTTCTAAAATATTCTGTCCAAAAACTAATTTTTTTTCTAAAATTTAAATTATTTTTGGCTAAATGAAACAATTTTTTCATTAATATTAATGTTTTTATAACAAAGTTTTTTTATATTCTAGGCATAAATGGGAATCACTGTTGAAAACCGTGCGATGCGAGATTATTAGTTTCTGCCGCAATGATCAAATTGATGCATATGTTTTGAGGTATGTAATTTTATTTCTCAATAAACTGTTTATTAAACATCTTGAAAAAATTAATTAAAGCACACGCCTATTTTTTCAAACACAAAGTACACTCAGGGTCTATCAGGCCCAAAAGAGTGTCAAAAAAACATGCAAAAAACATTTTTCAAATGTTGAGCAATTGGCTTGAAAATCGTTGCTCGGGGGTTTTCGGGATCGCTGATTACGAATCCGACGTTAGTTTTTCAAAATTCAAAATGGCGGATCCAAAATGGCTGACACATTTTCAAAAAATTCATTGGATTTGCCTGAAACAAGTTACTCGGGGGGTTTTCGTGGTCGCTGATTACGAATCCGATGTTAGTTTTTCAAAATTCAAAATGGTGGATTCAATATGTCCGAATGTTTTTTTAAAAATCGTTTGGATTTGCTTGAAACTATCCTCCGGGGTTTTTGGGGTTGCTGATTACGAATCAGAGGTCAGTTTTTCAAAATTCAAAATAGCAGATCCAATATGGCGGACAACTATTAAGAAAATCGTTCGGATTTGCTTGAAACTCTCTACTCGGGGGTTTTTGGGGTCGCTGAAAATGAATCTGGAGTCAGTTTTTCAAAATTCAAAATGGCGGATGCAACATGGCCGACAAATATTTAAAATCACTTAAAACAACTTACTTCAGACGAATATATTAAGTTTTTTCAAAAGTTGTCCGCCATGTTGCATCCGCCATTTTGAATTTTGAAAAACTGACCTCTGATTCGTAATCAGCGACCCCGAAAACCCCCGAGTAATTATTTTCAGACAAATATATTAAGTTTTTTCAAAAGTCGTCCGCCATATTGGATCCACCATTTTGAATTTTGAAAAACTATCGTCGGATTCGTAATCAGCGACCCCAAAAACCCCGGAGGATAAATTCAAGCAAATCCAAACGATTTTTTAAAAAAAATTCGGCCATATTGGATCCACCGTTTTGAATTTTGAAAAACTAACATCGGATTCTTAATCAGCGACCACGAAAACCCCCGAGTAACTTGTTTCAGGCAAATCCAATGAATTTTTTGAAAATGTGTCAGCCATTTTTGTTCCGACATTTTGAATTTTGAAAAATTAACGTCGGATTTGTAATCAGCGACCCCGAAAACCCCCGAGCAACGATTTTCAAGCCAATTGCTCAACATTTGAAAAATGTTTTTTGCATGTTTTTTTGACACTCTTTTGGAAAAAAACCTCCAAAATCTAAGGGTTAATTTGACAAAAACACCCCCGTTTCACCTAAAATCAATGAAAAATTACTTTTTCTACTATAAGAAAAAGTTTTCAACCATTTAAATTAAAATCCCAAGGGGGCGAAATATAGGCCTTAGGGGCCCTCCTCCTTTGACGGCGAATTACATTGCGATCTTGTTTCTTCGTTAGTATTTTTCTTTTCGATAGAATTGTAAATATTTCTTTTAACTTGAGATTGAGTTATCCGAGTGCCATGGTTATTCAATTAAATGTTAAATTTTCTATGACTGTCAAAAAATGGTTAGGCTGATAAATAACAAAAAAAAATTTATTTTTCTTCACAATTATTGGTAATTTCAAACCCTGATTAGCACAGAATGATAATACACTTTCTTGTTCCACAGTTCGATGTTTTTTACACTTTAAACCTACACACATTTACAAATTCTGACGCACATAACCTAAACCTAACTTACATATATTCGTATTCTTCAAAACTACACATACAAACGCACCCTTATAACACTGAAAGTCACTGTTCTTATATACTACCTGACGAGATTTTTCACCACTTTCGAGAAAAAATTTTGCACTGAACATCACTTTTCAATTAGTCAGAAATGTAAAAGAAAATACATTTTTATCGAGGTCAATTTTTAGTCAGAAATTGACTGCAAATTATTTTTTGAATTTCATATTTACATTTTACGTATATACTCTATGTAGTATATATGTAGCAGAAACATATAGGCTGTAGCCTGTTTAAAGAATTCAGTTAAAAATATTTGAAAGTTTAAATGACATTTAATAAATATTAAGTACCTTTCAAGCATCTAATCCTAATAGTTTAACATTAAATCAAAAATAACTGCTAACATACTGAATTCTAAAAATTCTATGACTCGTTTTCAATATTGTTGCTTGTTGTAAGCAGAAATGAACAACTTTCTGCTGTATTAACATTAAAGTAAAGAAACGCATTTCTTGTAGGTGTTACACAAATTAACTTAACATTTTATAAAATTTATTTATCTTTATTAAAAAAAAAATTTTTCATATCTTCTAATACTATGGTAAGTAAACATTTTAAAAATCTGAAATATAGTTACACAGGTCTACAAAATAATTGGGGTAAAGATCCCCAAAAAATGTGTGTTTGAGGGTTTTCAGAATTTTTTCTCCTTAATCTGACGTGTTAGAGACTTCTATATAGGCTTAAATTAAAGTTTTAAACGTACATTTTAAGACCCATATGTACTTAATAAAAAAAATTTTTAATTATGAAAAATATAGATAATGACCCAAATAATCTTTTTAGGTGACTTGAACATAATTTTTTTTCAAAATTTTGAAATTTTTTCATCTTGCGCTTACGTCTTCACGTATACAATAATTTAAACAATAATTTTTTTGACATAGAGTACATTTCACTTGTAACATTACTTTGTCGAAACCCCCATCCTCCCTCGCGTTACAAATCGTGCTTATAAACAAGACCCCCACCCCCCTAAAAAAAGTTGTCACTTTGTTTATTAAGCATTCTTCCAAGGCTCTATGAGTCGGATGCAATTTTGATAGAATAACCCTCTTGCTCTTCTAATTCGCGGAGTTAACAAATCAAAAGAAACAACTTCCACTTGCGATCGCAATAACCCACTTAGCTCCAATTTTGGCACTTTTCGACTTCTCCCCTCCCCCACGTATCTTAAAGTAGCATATTACAGACCCACTCCCCTTACCTAATGGAACGTAGCTTTTTTTATGCATCACTACACTGTTAGAAATCGGACTACAACTTTACACCATAAAGATGGAAATTATTAGGTGTGCAACTATGTTCCCGCTGTTTGTCAATAGATAACAGTGTTGATCGATTTTGATATATCCAAAACGCCATAAATAAACCTTAGACATATGCTAAAGAAACTGTGGTGATATATTAGTGATTTTGTTTTGGCGTTATATACTTTTGGTTGTGCGAAAATGTCAAATTTTGTGCCAAATAATCGTCATTTGCGGGAAGTGTTAATCTTCTTTTTTCATTCGAAAATAACGGCAGCTGAAACATACCGAGAGCTCAAAAAAGTTTATGGAGATGCTGCTCTAAGTGAAAGAACATGCCGCGATTGGTTCCGCCGCTTTAAAGACGGTGATTTCGATGTTGAGGACCGTCCTCGTGAAGGAAGACCAAAAACCTTCGAAGATGCTGAATTGAAAACATTACTCGACGAGGATTCGTGCCAAACGCAAGAAAAGCTTGCTGTTGCATTAAATGTTACTCGTCAAGCCATTTCCAAGCGATTGCATGCGTTAGGAATGATTCAAAAACAAGGGACTTGGGTCCCTTACGATTCTACAGCATGACAACGCTAGGCCTCACGTTGCCAAATGTGTCAAGACCTACTTGGAAACGCTTAAATGGAAAGTCCTACCACACCCGCCGTATTCCCCAGATATTGCGCCTTCCGATTATCACCTGTTCCGTTCCATGGAACATGGTCTGGCTGCTCAGCAATTTCACTCATGCGAAGACATCGAAAAATGGCTTGATTCGTGGATAGCCTCAAAAGACGAAGAGTTTTTCCGACGCGGTATTCGAGCTCTGCCAGAAAGATGAAAGAAAATCGTAACTGCCGATGGACAATACTTTGAATGATTTATTTGTAACCTTCTCTGTAAATATAGTTGAAATTTCATTTTAAAAAAACATCGAGAACTTAGTTGCACACGTAATATGTAATTTCAATCTTTAAAAGTGTGAGTGCTTGCAATTCATTGATTTAAAGTTCGTAATGGACCAAATGAATTGCAAGCATTCACACTTTTGGATATTGATTGTAAATAATTTCAATATTAATTGTGTAGAGTTGTAAACAGGAGCACTGAAAGAATGAAATCTACATATCACTCTGGTCTCTGGAGATTGGCGAAATTCAACGAGGCATAAAGAAACGTTAATGGTAATAATTAAATGTCAATTTAATTACACATAATCTACAGAAAGACCGGAGTGGATTATGGAACCATTTTTTTCAATTATGGAAGTGTACATTTTTAAAGTATGCGCAGCAATCATAAAAAGCTACGCAGTCAAAACATAAGTTTTGTATTTCGATCATATTGAATCTACGGTGGATGGTGGTCTATTCTACGGTTTGCGAGCTGTTGTGAGTCTTGATCTGTTAACATAAATAATTAATTAATTTAATAATTTTTTATTTAACTACACTGAAAAAACAATTTCTTTGAAAAATCAAACTTGGAATATCTTTGCCATACAGTTAAACATATTTAACTTTAATTTAAAATTAAATTTTTAATTTAAATATATATTTTGTTAATTTATTTAATTTTTTCTATTTAAACATTCAATTTTTAAACACATTTTTAATTAAATAAAATACTTTAAACTTATCCTTAATTTTAAAATTTTTCTCTGTACACAATTTATTAAATAAATATGAATTTAGAAATGAAAGTTACAAACCTTGGCAAAATTTTGGCATCAGGAACATTTGTTAGGGCACGAAATTTAGTGCTGTCCGGAATGTCCCTCTTGTTAATGACACCGCGTATAATTAATCCGTTGTTTAGGATATTTCTGCCCCCATTCACATCACGGTTCCATGTGACTTTACAGACGTTGCACTATACGGTCCGGTGTTTCTGGTCTTTGCCGCACTTGACATTACAGTTGCTACACATTCGTGTAGTGCAATGCACATCTACGAAAATTACTTTCAGTGTATTTTCGCCAAAAACTCGTGATCTCTCTATCACCCGTTTCACA